ATTTAAGGTACAAGGGGAGCGTATGAGAAAGAGATTGAGTTGAACAATGAGAGATAAATGACATGCTTTCAAGCAGCTTTGTATTATTTTGCCAATTGTCTAAGGAAACCAATTACGAAAATCTTTTGCAGAAATTTCTTGCAATTGTTCACCTCGAGGTAGGTGGCCCTTACATTAAACGGAAGGGTGAACGTCGTATCTTCTGTACGTACTACAATTGCTTCGGTACAAAAATGTGTCTTGAAAATAAATAGAGCAATACTTCGTAATGTTCTTAGTAACACCCAAAATATAACTGACCTGTTTTAGTTAATTGCTAGCACAGTTTTTAGTGAAAATGTAATTCAGAAGTTGCTTGACGGTGAGAGGAACGTTTTCGACTTCACTCTGTATTCCAGGTCGAAGTATTTTGGTTAAGGAAAAAATCAAGTGGGACGGCTGACCGTTTGGTTATGTCAACAAAGTGGAAAGGAATTGCTGACGGGATGTCATGATACAAACTCCACATGGTGCTCAGAGATCAGGGGCGGATCCGGTTTTTTTTTTAGGAGGGGGTGCACTCGTCTCTAGCTCTACTTCAACACCAATAAACCACATAGTTTTTTTTGCAGAATACCAGTTGTATTAGAAAAGCGCAGGTCATCTCAAGGGAAGGGGGGGGCGCACTCCCCCTCACCCTCCCCCTAGATCCGCTCCTGGAGATGAGGACTGGAAATAAGGACCAAGTCGAGAGCTCTATAGTCAACCTGGCCTCGTTCTGATTCCTTTTAGGGCTCTTTTCAGACTCTACCGGGTGGCTCTTGCGCCGGCACAAAATCCATGCCGGGTAAGGCTTCTCTGCACCCACAAGAACGGTGATTTCGTCGCGATTTCTCATCGAGCAAAGCTGCCCCACACCGAACTCGAAAGCGGACAGTCACATTTCGGATAGGTTCTGAATCATATGCACTTAAGGAGACCCACGAAATAAAATGAAGGCAAATTCACACGTAAACTGGTAATTGTCTGCTAATTATTCACTTCATATTTTAATTTTTAACAACCCACAAATCTAATATTTTCCCATTTTCCCAAAATTTTAACCATCCCCCTCCCTGAATTTAATACATTAAAAACATCCGAAAAATCATCCAAGAATTCATAAATAATTAGTCTAGATATACAAGAAAAAAGGTGGAAATCAACGAAAAATAATGTTTTTCACCCTTCCCCAAGAGTGATCAGCGTCAAATTTCTCCATGTAATATCACTGCTTTATAAAACAGAGTGGTCATGAGAATTAAGGACATGACCACACAAGATGAATCTAATTGATACTTCAACAAATTCCCCCCACTACTTCTATTGAAAACGTATAGGGGTAACAAATGAGAATTTGAATTTTGATGTTAGGGTTTAAAGGGTTAACCGTACTGCCTCCTTAAGTACACTGTGGACAAGTATTTGGACCATGGCGGAAGTGAATAAGTAAGAACGAGGACATGACTCCAATGTGACGGAGGTGAAGATTCATAAGTGAGGATTAAGTGCACAAACACTCTCTGCCAACCACTGTAGCACATTATTTGATGTGCCGTAAGCGACTTGCTCCTGTCCCGTGCCGTCATTAGGGACCTTAAGATCCGAGGACGGCGACGGCAGAGAAAACGTCGCTGAAAAAGTGAATTCGTGTTCTTTCAATCTTCATCGTGATTACTCCAAGTCACTAACTTTTTCAAATGTAGGCGAACCATCCTAAAGTTGAATTCCTAAGAACTATAGCCAAGTGCAGAAAGAGAGAGGAAATTTCGTCGTCGCTTGTGTACTTCCTCTGTACAACTTGAAATTAGGCGTTTTCACGTCGTAGTCGTGCAGTGACGGCAAAGAAATGTACAAAAAAACGTGATGCACGTGCAAAGGTTATTGAACCTATGGCTTTTTTGACGTTCTCGTTGCCGGCGCCGTCGTCGGATCTTAAGGTCCCCATTGTTTATATTATACCGTGTCTACACGAAAAAGCTTTACGGTATAGCGTAGACATAGATAACCTTAGACAACGACACGAGGACACAAGTCAGGCCAGAAAGAGGTTGCAGGGTTTGGGCGGCCACTTCTCTCTGTTTTTAAAAAATGTTTTGTCTAAAAAGCGTTACCCGTTGACTTTCTAACCACAGTCAAAAATTTTATTCACAATCCAAGCTTCGATCCACCTCATATAAGGCAACAAGGGGAGCGAAAGCGAAAGCGAAAGAAAACCTTTCACTCGTCCGGCAAACCTCTGCTTAAGTCTACGTATGTTGATCATGCAGGAGGATATCGGCTTTCAGTGCAAGACTTTTAATTTCTTGTTTACAGGAAATGTAAAATGTAGTGCCGATACCAGCCTTACATCGTGTAACAAGGAGAGAGAAAGGACCCTGCTATTAGAGTTAATCTAACCCACTGTGCTACTTTTTGTCTCTAAGCAAAAATAACGTTTGGGTCGCCGGATGCCGAATTCCCAGGGGGTCCCGTCCGTCCTGCAGGGCAAACAACAACTCATAACACATTTAAAATGCTATACTTACATTGACATCCATTTTGTCCTTTTTATAATCCTGAACGATAAAGAAAATTAATTTGTCATATAAGATGTCCACACCTTGGAAAGTATAAATGTTCCTTGACAGCTCTTGACTAAGAGAGCACTTTACCACTCGATAAAAGTTTTCAATTCAGCTTGCCAGGCGTCTCTTGAACTGAGGAACACATCTAGAAAAGATTTTTAGTCTTTTTTATTTTGAACTTACAAATCAAGGAAAAACAAACGTTTTGCATATATTTGCTGCAAGGACAATGTTATCGGGCAAAATATCGACAACTTCTTCCGTTACTTTGTTGATATCCCTTTGTATTGTGATGGAAATGGTTACAATGGCCTTCTCGATTTTATAAGTGTTCTTTTGTAGCTGTACCTTGATATTGTTACATTGAGTTTCCTTAGGAACAATGTATAAACACTGCAATAAAAAGGGTTCAGTTTAAAGGCTTTTAGCTTCTAAATAATCCCGGGTAAATAATGCTCTGGTGCCAATATGTTGTAATGTTTAATAAACAATTAAAACCTAAACATTAGTTTTTATGAAATAACTAAGCTGGTATGCGCGTTCTGATTGGTTAAAAACTAACAAAGCTTGAAATCACTCGCCTTCGGATTGTGATTGACAAGCTTTTCTCGTGTTCTCCCAACATCCCGCGTGGGTTAAATACATTTTTAAAAACTAAGCTTCATAGCAGAACCCAGCGCATTAAGATGAAAGACTTTTTTTTCTCATATTTCTAAAGTCATACAAAAACAATCAGTTGTACAACGATTACGACATAAAAGCATCACTTACAGCATGTTTCCTTGTCGACTAATATCATGTTAATATGCTATGCAATTTGCTAAAACAACAAAGAAATTCAAACTCCTAACAGAGCTTAAAGACTTTTTCCTTTGAAGGAGACATTTCCCAGCTGACAGCATAGCAAGGTTGGTCGCTTGGCAAACTGAACATTCTGGCAAGGCGTGAGCAGCTGAATGGTCATGCTGTACAAACACGTAGATGTCCCAATATCGTCGACCAAAAATAATGAAAATATAGGCTTCCCAACGTTGCTGCCTAACACTGAACACTGGGGCCTCAATCTGCCTCATTGATTATTATTCTTTAAGTTCATCTAAACGTGCCAACAGAGTAGACCATCAACTGTTGGACAGCGATGTTTGAAGGGCATTTGAAAGTCCTACAGCTTTTTACTGGAGAACCACTGAACGATGGCAATGTTCGCAGGGCAGAAAACGTCCAACGCTGGTTACTAACAACTACCTGAACTACTGGATGGAGTTTTCGTGCACTTAAAAATCTCAGATCTGTGAACTACAAGCGAACTTGTGGCAACCTTGGAAACGCATTTTAACATCTTGGCACTGTTGAACATCAACAAATGACTACTGGAAGCCTATTTAACACTTTCCATCAACAACTTCTGTATGGCAATGTTGGAAAGCCGGACATCCAAACTTCCTAACATTTTTGGGTTCTAAACGTGTGGATGGCGCTAAATTAAACGCTTAACTTCTAAATGGCAATGTTGGAAACGCGTCTAAACGTCCCATTAATACTGTTGAACAACTTGTCAGATCAGCTTCTAAACGTACCGACATTGTTGACCATCGACTTATGGATGGAAATGTCAGAAGCATATCTAATTGTCCCAGCATTGTTGGCCATCAAGTTCTGGATGGCAATGTCAGTAGCACATCTATTCGTCCCGCCATTGTTAGCCATCCACGTCTGAATGACATTGTTGGAAATGCGTGTTAACGTCCCAAATACTGTTACACAACAACTTGTAGACGGCAACTTGTCAGATACGCATCTAAACGTACCGGCATTGTTGACCATCGACTTATGAATGGCAATGCCAGAAGCACATCTACTTGTCCTAGCATTGTTAGCCATCAAATTCTGGATAGCAATGTTGGAAACGCGTCTAAACGTCCCAGCATTGTTGGCAATCAACTGCTACATGGCAATATTAGAAACGCGTCTAAACGTCCCAGCATTGTTGGCAATCAACCGCTACATGGCAATATTGGAAACGCGTTTTAACGTCCCAACATTGTTAGCCATCAATTTCCGGATGGCAATGTTGGAAACGCGTCTAAGAAATCCCACATATTGTTGAACAACAACCTGTGGACGGCAACTTGTCAGATGCACATCTAAACGTACCAGCATTGTTGGCCATCAAAGTCTCGATGGCAATGTTGGAAACGGGTCTAAGCGTCCCAAATACTGTTGACCAACAACCCATGGATTGCAAATTCTCAGACCCACATCTAAACGTACCAACATTGTTGGTCATCGACTCACCAATGGCAAAGTCAGAGGCTTATCCACTCAACACTGATGTCCAACAAAAACTTACACTTTCATCAAATTGTTGGTGTTCAAGAATATTCTCTTTTATAAATGAAGACTACAATGTAAACGCTCTTCCTCTTTATTAAGTTACTTATTTACAATTTATATAAATCTCTCTTATTCGCTTCTAACATCAAAAGCATTTTGCACAATAACTGACTCTTTGGGATAAAACAATGAATTTTGTTTAAGTCTCGATGTCCACATAAGAATATGTTTCCCTAAAACAACGATGGTTGTGACACAGAGAAGTTGCGAGAAATGTCTCAAACAGAACCGATTTTATACCCATTCTGTCTCAAGATAAACCTTTACAGGTTCAGCAACGTCTGGATACCCCTATCACTCCCAAGGCATAATGATGGCTTAGGGGAGGGTTAGATGGGCAGTTTCCCAGATACCTACAATGATCCAAAAAGATTCGCCAAATTTCCAAATTCCATTGAAAAACCAATAGTAGTATCCACATACAAATTCTCCAAACTGATCTCCATACATTTCCTTAAAGAATTAGTTGAGAGAAGTTGATAATAGATCAAGGCATTTTCTCTTTGGTGATCATTTTCTCAGTTCTCATAACTTATCTTATGACAGTGTATGGATATTGCTGTGAGAAAATTGATCTTGGTCACTATTGGGACTTAAAGGGTTAAATGGTTAAACCACAGGATTTCATCCACAAAATCACAAGTTAGAACTACATACTAAATAAATAGTACCATGTGAAAGTACTGCTAAAGAGGTTTCATTTGAATGGTTTCACCATAGGATTTTACTAGCAGACTTGGAAGTTAGCACCGCCTTACAAGACTCCCATCATTCACTGTGAGAGTGAGAGGGATAATGTCCCGGGGAGACCCCCATATAAAAGTGACGGGGATGCTCGTGCGAAAATATAAATTAACCCCTGAGGGAGAGCAGTGCAGGTGTGGCTCAAGCTTTAACTGGCCTGACACTGACCGCACAGAAATCTCCCTTGGAGGGCATTTTTTGTACATTTCTTTATACACAGCACTAAGCGATAGTGACTTTCCATACCAAACACCCTAAGTGAGACCAAAATCCGCAATTTACGCCTCAAAGCGAGACGACGAGCATCCCCGTCACTTTAATATGGGTGTTCCCCCCGCCCCCAGGGATAATGTACCACAACCATACGAAATAAGCGCCAGGTTAGAGAATCATCTCAAAAAAATCACTTTAAACATTAATAAGTTCAGTATTTTTCTTCCATGAGTGATAACTTGGTGAAGTCTCAATGAATGGAGAAGAAAGAAGGCAACATGTCTTTCCTGTTTAAAAAAACGTTATCGTAACAGGAACTGTCCAGTTTAGAGCTCAATAAGACAGCTGAATAAAAAGACAAGCGACGTGTATTCACGGGGTTGGCATTGAATTTAAGTAAATATATTCACCAACAAACGCGAGATGGTTTTGTTAACATTTGAACGCACAAAGAGATAATTAGAGGGCCTTTCCTTTTAAAGGCTAACTCTATCAATTTTCAACACTTGACATCTTAAATATCAACTCTGATAGGCAAAGCACCAAAAGGTGCGTACAGGAATATAATGAAATAAAAGTACTGTAAAAGCCAGGGACCTTTACCCTTGAACGGCAACCTTAACAGATATCAAAAAAGATAAACTAAATGTAATGGGCCCAGCTGATATTATTACTATTATTAGGCTCATTTTAAATTCATATTGGTTCAGAGTCTTGAAACAAATACAGATGAATCATTTAACCCTGAACCTAAATGTCATTCCTCAGAGCCACTAAGAATGTTATCCTTTTCACTGCCAAGAGTGGCCAAAGTCAAAATTCCACAAAATTTCCAAATTTCATTTTGTACAATTCTGAAAAGCTGAATGTCACAATGTGAAAGTACTGCTGAAGAGGTTTCATTTGAATGGTAACACCGCAGGATTTTGTCCACAAACTCAAAAGTTAGAACTACATACTAAATAAATAGCACCATGTGAAAGTACTGCTGAAGAGGTTCCATTTGAATGGTCAAACCAAAGGATTTTGTCCCCAGACACAAAAGTTAGAAACAAATACTAAATAAAAACACCCTCCAAAGAGGTTTCTTCTCCATGGTCACACCGCAGCATTCTGTCCACAAAAGTAGACTTGCCACATGACAAGTTGACTGCATGAGTGCCAAAGGCGCAAGGGATGCTCGTGAGGCGAGCAAAAGCAGGCGAGCAATGCAAGTCGGAAACAGGCTCTAAGAAAGTCAAAAACGTTAGAACCAGCTTAGGAGTCTGGCAGTGAAAGGGTTAACACATCAAAATCAGCTTATTCAACTTACCGTTTATCTTTGTTAAAAGCGTTTTTCACTAGTATTTTAAGTCAAACTACACATTAATTTGCCATTTAAATTTTAGTGAAAAACAATGTCCCTGGCTTAAACGTTTTCCACACATTTCTCATGGTAATTAGGAGGTGAATAAAGGACTTCACTTTGATTTAAACCCTGGCCTAGTAGAAATAGAGGTTTGAGTTACAATCTTAACTACTATTCACATTATGCTGTCGCAGGATGCTCCTGAAATTTAAACCATCACTATTGCTTTCATCAGAGGATCGACTGTTAGCTTCACTGGAAGTCAGGGAAGGAAACGTCAGCTCAGTAGGGGTTGCTTTGCTGCTGTTTTCTCCAACAATTTCCTTTGTAAGATCTTGGAATTTCCTGACAAAGTCAACACTGTTTTCATCCATCATTACTTGCAAGGCTGTCTCCGCCTGTAAAAGAACATAAAATAAAAGGTTATCAGCTTTACAAATTTACCAATATTTGTTTAAGTAAAGTTCATCCCTGCTATTCTCCAATCTTTGATAACCCCTCCAACACTAGTGTTAGTTTATGGAGGGGGAGCAAAAGGAATGGCCATCTCTCCATGATACAATGCTAAAGCAACATAAACAAGTTAAAGGTGCATTAAAGAGTTATTGATAGCATTATACTTAAAATGCCATAGTCCTACTGTACTATATGTAGAGGGTTCAAAATTATTTTTGGACGGTGGCTGGACACAATGATTGGCTTAAGAAATGGTTGCTCAGCCAAGTCTCGTTTCTGACCAGTCAAAAAACTGGGGAAAAATTTCACTCATCCTTATTTTAATTTTTTATTTGTGAATGTGATTGTATTTTTACGAGACAAAATGTAATATTTTCAGGTAAGGATTTGGCTGGTTTTTTTTTTCAAGAATGAGAGTGTGAGTGACCAGTCAACCTGACTGGCAAGTGAAGTTTTTGGCCATTCATTTCATGGCGTTGATCAGACATTGGCTGTTGACCAGCCATTGTTTTGAGCCCAGATGCATATTCTTGTATTTGTCTGTATGGGATGTCCCATCAGTGGAAGGTTTCACTATGTTGCCCAAGCAACTTGCACTACGACCAAATTGCTTTAGCCCAAAAATTAAAAAAAAAAAGACTTTGGTTGTATGAACAGGGTTTCACTATAGCAAAAAACATTAAGAGCAAAAAAAAGCTTGTTATCCTAGGTGTGATCTTGTTTACCAAATATTTTGTTTGATTGTCCAAGCTATTCTTCAAAAAGAGACATTAATTTTGTAAAATAGAGGCTAAAAGCCCAATAACTTGAAAGAAATTTAATGCCATGCTAAAGTGGAGGATGGATCAAACATCAAAAACAGCAACTTTCCTTGTTTCAGCTGTTAAGAGAAAAAGCCTGTTGCTAATTAAGCAGTAGAGAACATTTTCCGTGTTTGCATAGCCTGATATAAACATGAGAGGGGTTGAGTGAATTCGAGACAGTTATGCAACCCGAGATGAAGTAACTGTCGAGAAATGTCTATATTATTAGTTGGTTTACCAAAAGATGAAAATTCAACTATTAATTCAGGACACCAAACTTACATCTAGCAGGTGATGAGTACTGATCAAAGGGTCTTGAGATGGGTCCTTGAATGAACTTACTCCATTTGTCTCCTGTAGACAACAACAAAGAATGATTTCAGCATGATTACCATAACAAAAGCCAAAAAAAAATCATAGTCATGACTAAGAATATCAGGGCTGTCAATAAGAGTCAGTAGCCAGCCAAAACTGCCGACTAGTTAGCCATCCTTAGCCAGCTACTTTCATATCCTTCTACCATAACTGCTAACAAAAAAATAAGCACCATCGAATAAAATTGTAAAGCATCCATTGCCCATTTTTGAATGACATTCAACATATATTTAAACAGGTTTAGACCTGTGAAATGTTCTAACCGTGCGATGTTGTGGAACGCCTGGGACATTTTTTGACGGCGTCGTTCCCAGTCTTGTATTCGTGTGTGTATTCTGATGAAACAACATGGTGTCTGCAGGGGAAAATACCTCTTGAAGACTCCTGGAAATGGCATTTCCGAGACTAAACTTCAAAATGTCCCTAAATGCCTTGGCCCTCAGGAGCTTGTGGCTTTGGTGTGACTAACAAAGCTGCCTACTATTCATTGTAAGCCAACTACTTAAAAACTTTTAGACAGCCCTGAAAATATTATGACATATTCAAGCTGCAGATGAAAGCGAGGTGACTCTCAGTCACAGTTAGATGTATTTGATCAACCCAATTTCACTTTTTATTACACGTACCACCACCACTACCAGCACTTATAGGTAACCTGTTAACCCTTTCATTCCTAATTACAGGGCGACTACTGTATCCGGGGCCACTAAGACAGTTGACCAATCGGATTACAGGAAAATAATAATACATTCCAAGAAAGTTGGTTGTGGGTCAATCAGCATCAATCACTTTTTGCTTTGAAAAACAGGGATCAGATCCAGCCTGATGGGTCACCTGGCTTGTATGCAGACTTACTGTGTGTTCCTTTGGCATCAGGACATTTGTTTTTACAATCAATACAGAGCTTATTTATATGTATGTTCGGTAGAAGATACTACCATTCTTCTTACCTCAAAGCAAACTGACTTGTCTTCTTTTCTTGGTGATGTGCTTAATTTGTCTTTTGGAACAAATGTCATGAGAAAAAAAATCAGTAAGAAACATTCATCATTATTATTGAACAAGACCCTAGTCAGCGTTCAAAGAAAGTACTGTCCGATAGCCCGGGGCTAGTGGATTTTGCTATAGGGCTAGCGAATTCTGTTTTTAACTTGCCCGACGGGCAAGTGATGTTTTAAGAGGAATTTGAATAACAGAAGAACAAAAAGTTTTGGGGCTAGTTGAAATGACGTCTGGGCTAGTAAATGCTAGCTTCAGCTTGCCCAAATGGCAAGCTGTAAAAATGATTTTCTTTGCACCCTGCTAGTAAGCTCTGTAGTGTGGTTATTGCTTTCAAAATACAGAACAATTTCCTTGCTGACAGAGGCCTCTTTTCCCTGGTATTCGGCAAACAGGAAGAAAAGAGAAGTAATGGTTCAGCCTACAAGCAACTGCGGTACATGCTCAACAAAGTCCATTTGAGCCTACGGCAAATGAAAGATCTCTTTCTTTTTCATCTGCTGAATACCTGGGAAAAGAGGCCTCTGCCTGGAAGGAATAGAGCAATATCTAAATTATGTGTAACTTGTATTAATTTGATCCCAGTAAAACTAAAAATGAAGTGTAGAAAAATGCATCTCTTTTAACATTGCCAGTGTAATCAACTTTAAATTTAAAAAAAAGCAGAAGAAAAACATTTCAACTGCAAATCAGTTTAAGAGCTATTACAATTCACCATTTCAATGAAATTTTGAAGTCAACATGTTCATGCTGACCCATGTATATGCACAACATTTTGGAAGAAGTAAAGAAGGGTTCACAAAAAAGCTTGTTAGCTGACTATTGGAAAAGTGTCAGCCAACAAATGGCCTGCTGTAGGCCCACTATTGGCTAACTGTTGTCCAACAAGCTGCAACAGTGGAACAGCAGTTGGTTACTTAAAAGACAACGGTAGACAAACATCTTTGGCTCACTGTGTCTTAAATTATCTTCAGGTTTAACAGACTTGTTGGCTTCATGAATACTGTTGGCCAACAAGTTTTTAGATGATTTTCAGACATTACAGACTTGCTGGCTACATGAATAATGTTGGCAAACAAGTTTTTGGGAGCTGTTCTTCACTTTATCCAACATATTTTGAGACAATATTTCTTACCTAACAGGCTGCCTATAGAGAAGTTTGAGGGCTGTATAACAAAGAAAAAAATAGCAATAATGAATAAATAACACGAAAAATAGAAAGTAAAAAAAGGTTAGAATTGAAACTGTTTTAAATACCACATACTGTAAAATTGAATTGAATGTTATGATCTTCCAGAAATGTTGATGTATGTTCTTAAGTTCTGAAATATGTAAGAAAAAAGCTTAAGATGGAATCCATCAAGAAACAGAGTAATTTTAATTTTCTGAGGACAAAAACCTTGTACCAGAATATTTTAAGCCATATTGCATTTTTTTTACACTTTTCAAGTCGGAGTTCTAAAACTGTAATAAGTTATATGAAATAACTCCAAAGAAAAGGTTGTCATGCGAGCCCGAGAAAATAAATTTTAAATTTCACAGGAATTGAGAAAACACAGGTAAAATTGACATGCGCAAGATTTCATTTTGAGAAATTTGAAGCTTTTGAAGTTTGTTATCCCGTAAGAACCCTAAAAGCTTGAATATCCAAATACTAATTCTCCAAACCAATCTCCATACATTTCCTTATATTAGTTGAGAGAATTTGTTCAAGAAGATCAAACAAAGTTCATACAAAAAATTGCAACCATTTTTCAAGGACTTTCCAAGGACCACATTAGATTTTCAAGGACCACCTACTAAGAATATAATTTCACAGATTGTACAAAAATGCACATTCCCAGTCTATTCTAATAAGACTTTAAGTTAAGGCTTGAACTGTTTGCTTCACCAACTTCTCTACATTTTTCAGTTGACTGGTCTTAAATTGATAATTAATTATTGCAAAAAACATAGAGCACTTTAAGTAAATAACCTTTAACTTCTCTTTATATTCTGTCTTGGACAACCAAAAAGCATAGAAAACTCTTTCCAGACCACTACATTCAAAATTGAAGAAAATTCAAGGATTTTTCAAGGACTTGCATAGAATTTCAAGGACTTTTCAAGGAAAAATGGAATTCAAGGACTTCCCCTAAAATTCAACGACTTTTCAAGACTGTGCTAACCCTGTCAAAGCATTTTCTGTCCCCTGATCAATTTATTAATTCTTGCAACATTTCCTCTTTATTGCATATTGACATTGTTAGAAGAATATTGATTTTGGTCACTCATGTGACTTAAAGGGTTAATAGCCCTCGAAAAAAGTGAAAAGGAATGCAATATGATTAGAATCATTCTGGTAAAAGATTTTTGTCCACTGAAAATTAAAATTACTCAATTTCCTAAAGGATTCCATCTTAACCAGTTTCCAATAAAAGTAGAACAAATAGTAAAAATTATGTGCATGACCCAAATACTTTGGTTTCTTATCCTCTTCCTTCCCGTGCAGGTCATTACAGTCAACTCCCTTTATAGTGGACACTCTAGGGACATTGAGTTAGTGTCCTCATTAGCGAGAGTCTGTAATAGTGGGAGTTTTTTCCAGTCAAACAGGCATAATAAATTTTTTTGCCATGGATTTAGCTGCTGTCCGTATTATTAGGGTGTCTATTATAGAGAGGTGTCTGAAAGATTAAAGTTAACTGCAGAATCTATTTTTGTCTAATAATATCAAATTAAGAGGTTGTAAGAGTTAGGGAAGTTAAAGATCACCAAAGATACTAAGTGTGTTTTTTAAACAGATTCTTTATACATTGTAAGTACTGTTTAAGAAAAGAAGGAAGACCGATGCATAGAAAACCCATGTTCAGTACAACTACTGTAATACCTCTCCATTGAGCCACTGTGGAGGGATTGAGGATGACAACAATGAAGACACTGGTGAAGCCTCTTTATCACCAAGTGCTTCTGGCTGGCTCTGTGAATCTACAATGCTACTTATGGGCTCTGTGATGCTGAAAAACACATCAGAAGCAGTAGAGACTGAACGCTGCCCTCTTTCTGAAACTGGATATAGAATATTTTCCAGTGTTGGACTGGTAATGCTCGAGGAAACACCAACACCAGCAATTCCAGAATTCAGCTCCTCTACATGCACTCCAGAAATGCTTAAAGCTGTGCCTGAGTCCACTGTTTTAATGGGCTGTGCTGTTAAGTCTAGATTTGAAGGTTTTAAATTCAAAAGAGAAGTTAGGTAAGATGAAGTTGAATCTTCATTAAGTCCTGTCATTGTTGTGGTTGTTTCACTGCCATCCAATGCTGTCCCCAGTGCAAGGCCAATGATGGAATCTACAGAATTTGATGTCATAGCAACATTATCAGTTGGTGATTTTGAACTACCCATAAACTGGTCCACAACTTCAAGAAGATCTGTTCCAGTAAATCCTGACATTTCCATACCCAGACTAGCAGAGGTTTCTCTTGAAAAGCCATTCTCTGCTGATGCTCTTCTTGCAGCTGTTTGAGGTGAAGAATTATCTGTCAAGCTTTTACGGTGATCAGAGCAACCCACTGTTCCTGAAACAAAAGCACTTAAAGTCAAAATACCTCACAATTAATATATATACATGTGGGTACTAAGCTTATAACTTTCCCATTCACTAAACCAAACATTACAAGGCACAGTTGTGCCCTTTGCATAGGAAAAAAACTAAATCACCAGTACTTGGTGTTTCTTGTGAGTGGGGCAGTAAGATCAGAATACTTCATGGACCACAACAACGACTGCTACAAAGCCACCAAGACATTCTGAAATCATGTGCATGGGACACTATCATGCAAATCCGATATTACACAAAACTATAGCTATTAGCAGGAACTTGTGTTCATGTTAAAGAGAGAAGTAAAATGAATGAGTGGCTAAACATATACACAAAAATACACACCTGACTGTGTCTTGGATGACACTGTTGCTTTAGACTGAGATGTCATAGTTACTGATGATGTTTTGACACCTGCTGCAAGAATGGTACCTACAGTTTGCCCAGGCTGTGGAATAAAAGATACTGCAACTGCTCCAGGCGGAACAGAACTAGGACTAGCAACTGGACGTGGCAGAATATTTCTATGCACATTTGGTCTCTGATGTCGTTTCTGCACCCTCGGTACCTTGGGGCGTGTCTGGAAGTCAGAGAGAACAGTGTCACTTTTTGATGTCTGAGCAGTCGTTGTAACAGCAGATGGTAGAATAAATGGGAGTTTGTGGTTTGTTTTAGTAGTAGGTCCTTTCGCCTTAGACCCTCCCTTTTCTTTCGGGGTAACTTCCTTGTCTGCTGGTTGTGAACTGTTCTTAGCAGATGCAGAGTTGGTAAGTTTTGAAGCTGCCTTAGAAACTCTGCTGCTCTCCTTTGTTTTGGTAAACTCTACTGTTGCCACGTCCACAAGCTTTGACAGTGAAACTGCAACTTGTGAAGGTGCAAGATTGTCCTCAATGTCACGCCATGTATACTCCAGCTTTAACTTAGGTGGTCTTCCAAGTTTACAAAAAATCTCTCCAAATGTAATATTTGCACATGTCTCTGAAGTCCAAAATTTTGGGGGACCCTTATTGCATGATTCAGGTTTATCCTCCTTTGGCAATTGGGCAGTAGAGTTCAATGCCATTGTGGCACCATTACACATTTCAGAAGATTCTGATTTGTCACTCTGACTGTTAGTAACAGTTGCACATTGAATTTGTCTCTCTGTAGGGTCACAAGATCTGTTACTTTCTTCAGTTACAGTCTTTTCCTGGAGTTCTGTTAGTAAGATCCCTTGAAAACCAGAATCAGTCTCCTGAGAACATTTTTCTTCTACCAATGAAGATGGTGAATTATTTTGTGTTGTGTCTCCTCTTCTAATGGCATTCGGTGCAGGAACGTTTTCAACTAAACATGTTTCAACTGATGACGGTTTGAACAGTGGAGACACTGTCTGTTTTTCGGCATCTGAATTGATGTAAAAATCAGGTGGAATAACAATACACATGTCCAATGGTTCTAGAGTCTTATTAGATACAACACGCCACTTCTTTGACAGAAAATTGAGCATCAAACTTAATGGTTTCTTTGGTGGCATTGTTGTTCGTAACCTTGGGTTCTTAGACAACCTTTGTACTACAGCCCAAGCTGCATGATTATGTGGTAGAAACTCAAGTGTCAACTTATTTGGCAAAGCAAGGGACTGAGACTCACTTTCCTCCTTGCTCTGCCCTGCTGATGTCAGCCGTTTGAGGGCACGGCACACAGGTGCTCTGATTTTGAAATTTCGTCCCTTACTACGAATAGAAATTGTGCCATGACTGAGTAATTCTTCAAGTTTTTTTCCATTTTTGTCATTCCAGCCACAAGTTTTCTTACGTAACTCTCCATAACAAATCAATCCTTTTAATTCAATGACTGTTTTCTTGTGACTGTCATTTTCACTCAGTTGATCTGCTGGAAGATACTTCGTAATCTTATTTAGGGTACGATAATAAAAATGTCGCACTTGATCTTTGTTCTTAATCAGTGCTGGGGGGTCACCCCTTCGCTTGTGTTTTGCTGCGATAAAGTTACAGATCTTGTCAAAATCTTTTCCATACTCATGCAAAGCCTCAAAAAATGTATCCTTTTCTGCTTTGCCCCACGATTCCCATTGTCTTTTAGGTGGTTTCTTCCTCCTGTTTGCCTGAGGTGATGATGAGTTTGGAACCCCTTCATTGGCACCATTACTGTCTGCAAAGAGTAAGTTAAAACCATTAAATAGTACGATTACTGGTGAAAAGATAATGAACAGTTTCGGAGAACAAGTGAAAACAGCATGTTGTGATAACTTGGAAAATTGCAAATCTTACATGGTCAGGTGAGGTGGGTTTTTTCAAAAGGTTACACTGACAAAAAAAATATTGAGAAAGGACAGGTTCTTCTTGCAAATGGTACTGTTACCCTTTGCTGTTTTCAAAGTTGCTTGCAAACTTGTGTAACCCACAGGCAGACCATCCAAACAATTTAAGGAATCGTGATGTCACACGCGACATGTGATCTCATACATTTACTGTATTTTGTAATGCCCGCTCTCAGCTTTTCTTGAGTGATCAGGAGGAATCGTGATGTCACACGCGACATGTGATCTCATACATTTACTGTATTTTGTAATGCCCGCTCTCAGCTTTTCTTGAGTGATCAGGAGAAATGCCTCATTAAACACAGAAGATTGCAATTTTTGATCCAAAATGTTGATGTAAAGTAAGATTACTTACCATATGATCTTAGTGTCATCTGCGGTGTTTTTGTGGCGTTTTCAGTCGCTTGAAACAACCCCGACTAATACATGTATGATAAAACCTCACGGTTTTATTAAAGGCATCAAAAAATCATCACATGATTTTATTATGTATTAGTCGCAGGTGCAAGTTTCAAGCAACTGAAACTGCAACAAAAATGCAGTACACAACACTAAAATATGGTAAGTAACCTTTATTCATCTTTCTTACCTCACATCAACAGCTGGGATCAAAAGGTGCAAACTTCTGTGTTTAATGAAGCATTTCCTCAGATCACTTAAATCAAGCTGAGTGCAGCCGTTACAAAATACAGTAAATGTATGAGTTCACATGACGTGCATGACATCACCATGCCTTGCACAGTTTGGATGGTCCCCCTGTGAGTAACCTAATCATATTATTTAGGAATGTGATAGTGAATTTTAAGCCTGGTTAATGCACCAGAAAGATGCCAGTCAGTGACATGGGTGGCTCGGAAGAGCTCAGTGGTCAAGCATCTGGACTACTAATCAAAAAGATCATAAGTTGGACTCCTATAAAATGGGAGTAATTGTGCATTTTTTCCCCCAAGACGCCAGTGTCACTGACTGAAAAAAAACATCTTTCTCATCGTTTGTATACTATTACACGCCGCAGAGATCACATTTGTGAAACTTCTAGGAATGATTAGCTGGGCATTGTAAATCATCCATCACGAGATGAGAGAGAGTAGCTTTTCAATAAATCACACTTAATGACAAGTCCTCAAAAATTACATCTTGCAAAATTTACATAGCAAAAATTACTGTTTTCAAAAATTCTTAGAAATGTTTGAAATAAAACTGCTCAGTTCTGAAAAAAAAAATAGCAAAAGGAATTATTGCTGCCCTTATGGCATTTAATCAAATTCATAAAGAAACAGAAGCAGAAATTTAGTAAGAAAGAAAAAATATTTTGTGTGCTAGATTTGCAACGTGTATCACTTCCTACTACACCTACTTCAATCAATAAACAAAAGTCCTTCAAGCACAAAATTTTAACTGCCGTCGTGTAATAGTTTGAATTCTATACGATCAGCGGAAAGAAAATGGAAAATCTTAAATTTCTTAAAAAAGAAAAACATTTTTCGTACGCAACCAAAAGAGTGATGCACGTTCTCATGTTCTAATGACAATTTTGCATGCAAAGTCAAAATGGCCGTCGCGAAGTGAAAGTTGTTTATGGCCAAAGTAATAATTTTAGGTATCATACCTTGGTTTCCTGCTTTACTTGACGAAGAGTTTGATGATTTTATTCTTTTAGTTGGTCTGGTACTGCTCCTTGTAGCAACACCGACAAAATTATTCGCAGTTTCATGAGCTGTAGCTAAGGTCGAATCCTTTGTTGTATCCGCATGGTCTTCTTGAGGTCGTTTCTTTGAAGCCTGTTTTTGCGAGCGTGTGTCATGGAAAACCTCAGGATCTTTAGTAGAAACTTCCCCTGTCAAATTTCCGACATTTTCGATCTGTTGAGCTGTACTATCTTGCTTGGATGGAGGCAAGCCACCGGCAGTCATCCTAGGAGATCGAAAACAGCAAACACAACAATGGCGTCTACAAATGGTGATTCTAGCACTAGATGTCTTTTCTAATATCAATGCCAGACACTTCCTGTCACGAAAACTAGGACATTTGTAAACGGTAAAGCATCTAGAGCCTATTATGGAAAAAACATGTCCGTGGATGAAGGCTTTAAAAGGGCATTGTAAGCAAAAATACAACGAGACAACGCTGTTACTTCACTTCGGTTGAAACACTTTCCAACGAAGCAAAATTGAGAGAGTGCATAGCTTCGAATCTTACCTTCGCCTCGTCCCATAATTTCGACAGCGAGTTTTCATGAGTCTTTGCAATAATTTTGGCAGTCTCAGGTTTAAAACAGATCCTCATAACGGCCTTAAATAAGCGCAATAAAGTATGTTTGTGTCCTTCGCCCCACAAGTAACAAACAAGAAGAGCTGATAATAAAGCAGGCAGGAGGGGCTGACTTTGCAGCTATGATGGTATGCACTTTGTCGCGACAAACTTCTAGTGATTTTTTTTTAATATTTCTGTTTTCTTGTAAGTCATAATATTTCAGTTTATACCAGCTATGAAATTTATTTAAGATTGAGAAATATAAAAAAGAAAGAAATTGAGAAGTGTGCAAGAAAATAATTAAGCTTAGGTCAAATTAAGATTCAACCCAAGAATTGTTCAGCTTGGACTCTGAAATGGCCAAAGCGATTTGTTCCAGGGTTAAGGAAAAATATTACCTCCTCCACGAGAATTTTATAAGCGACAGTTTTCAGATATGTATGTTAATCAGTGTTGTGTACCGCATTTTTGGATAAATTCTTATTTCTTGAAGTGATCTCTCTGGTCAATGACCATTGTTTGAGAAGAGTTCCTGTATTTGATTCTTCAAAACAGAACAGTCCATTTACAAAATAAAATGCTTTTTAAATAAATCAGTTTATTTGCTTTAATTTAGAAAAATCTTAGAAAAAGACAACTGGAAAAATAAAGAGTAAGCAAAGTAAAAAATATAAGCATATAAGTTATATAGCTCTACGTAGCCATGCACAGCACCCAGTGTAAGATCGAGGTATAATGCTCACTGGCTACTGCATGCCTCGACAAAATATCCAACCCGTTCTAGCAACATACCAACAAGAAGCACCACGAGAAGAACAATCATGAAGAAAAAAAGTTAGGAAAGTAAACTTAAATGAACTTTGTTTTCGAACAGTCTACCAGTAAATGTGTCAATGAAAACATGCTTACATTATATGACCAGCGCGTCCAGGTTGAATATTTCATTCAATTCGTTCGATCGCCCAACGATCTACGTCTCATAACACTCTGCTAGCTACTGATCGGACCTCAGGCTTATTGAAAGAGACCAGTCAAACCACAGGAGAGGATTCCAAGCATCTACGGTGTAAACAAATGCAGGGAACGTGAATCAAACGGTGAGATAGTGAGTGATATTTGGTTTTGGCGCGAGCCTCTCATCAGTTCAACGCGCGAACAAATGGTGGAAAAATCATATCACGTGACTACTTATTGTTCGAGCCGAACAGAGCCCTGGGTAATTTTTAAGACTTTTAACGTCCCACGCAAAATTTTTAGCGTTCAGGAACCATATGTAATTGTTTCCAAAACAAAATAAAAGAGATCATAGAGAAAATACGTGATAAGTCAAACCGTGCTTCAGTTTTTTTTCTTTGATACACAAGGTTCTAAAAGTTTCCAGAGATAAAAGGGAAGAAAGCGAAGACCATTCAAAATGCTGGTTGCGCTGTGACAAAACTTAACAAATGATCACGTCAAGAACTCTCTGTAAACACGAAGACAGTATGCTTTTGCTTTTGGAAAATTTTGTTAGCACGAACTGAAAGACCCTATAAAAATTAGCTAACCTGCAAATTTTCAGCCGAATATCTCAAAAGTAGCCACTGCAATGGCCACCGAAAATTAGAAGGATTATGGGAAAAACAACTCTTGCCACCCAGTCACGCTTGAGCGGATTTCCATACAAATCCTTGATAATTTCGAAATTTTCAACCTGCTGTAAAATATTTCCTTAAGCATTGCGAGGTTCAAATCTCCTTTTTATTCATAACAGGCAATTGACCCTGAAAATGCGTAATGGAAAGATTTAACAATATTTAGAAATTTAGGAGGATATTTTGTTTGGAAATCCACTCAACCATGACTGGTTGGCAAGAGTTTTTTTTTTTCTCATACAAATCCTCCTAATTTTCAGCGGCCGTTGCAATCATTACGTTTGACATATACAGCTGAAAATTGACATGTTACTTAGCAGAGCTAAGAAGGAATGAAAAATTCTAATACCGTCAACCTAAAAAGTGGTCACAGTCGCTTATGAGAGGCAGCTGTTTAGGAGAAACAAACTATAAGGCTTTGACTGAGAAAACTTTGGTGTTTTGGATAGGTGGTCACTTATGGGGGTGCTATCTCACAGGAGGAGGTCGCACATGGAGGTTTGACTAGTCTAATACACAGCAGTTTTTAATGTTGTCACGCAATGTGACGAAACTAAAAATGGCTGTGTTTGACAGTATGTATGTAGGTTTAAGTCCCATAATCCCATTCCATTTTCTTGGGAGGCCCATCTGAGTTCAACAGTTCTACAACCATATTTGTAAGTAGCCAACTTGTTTGCCCTCAGCGACTTCCGATTCTTGACCAAAATTGATAACTTTGATAGAATTTCTTCCTTCAACGGATTATTACAGGCTTACAATGCTTTTTTGCTTCCTGATGTGAATTAGGGCACAAGGGAGGAAACGTAAAACAATAAATTCGACAAATATTGGTCAAAAGATTCAAGGAGTTTTTCAAATAAAATATTTTGTAACTGGTGAAGAGACATCAAAACATGTATTTTAAAAAATAAAAAAGCATCATGTTCTTCTCGAAAATTTCTACAGTTGAACTTCCTGTAAGTGACCAACCAAAATGCAGAGATTTAGTGGTCGCTTACTAGTATTGACCCACATGTGTCTCTTCTGAGAAGAGAAACTGACAAATCTACTTTTTGTAAGAGAGTTTCTTGCATGCAATTTTTAAGTTGTGATATGTGCAGTTTCATGTTGCACTGATCATTTACTAGAGGTTCTAATATTTTTATAGGGCTTTTATTGGGAAACTTTCAGTGTTTTGAATAGGTGGTCCTATATAGAGGTTCAACTGTAGTATGCTGTTGCAAATCTTACATTCTGATTTGCGTATCCACTGGCTATCAATCAGCAGATTCATGGCGAGTTGAGCAAAGCCTGCCTTACACCACTTGACACTTAGCTTGATAAATCACTTAAAAGCTCTCTTACATTTGCAAAAAATAATTGTTCTATAGCACATTCTTGATTTCTATCAACTTTGAAAGTTGACTAAGGGATTTGTCTATCAATAATGCATTGACCCTGACCCTGGGAATGTATGCCAGCCAAGCGGAGGATTTGGTGAGTTTTGTTGGCAAATTTTAGCCCAGGATGGGGGGACTAGATAAATGTTTCACTTTTTTAGCACGATCCCCAGGGCAAGACTCACAGGATTTGTAATGCCGACTAAGCTGCCACCATTTTGAAAATGAATGAATGTTTTCTCTGCAAAGAATGGGTATAAACTGTGGTACACATTCGCTGAACCTTACCCAGGCAAAAATCGGGAGTTTTGCTCGTTTTGAGCTCAAAACGTGGATGTTGCACGGTAATTTTTGTCCAGTTTGTTTAAATTGAAAACTATAAACATTTCAGACATGCTTTTGCCAAAGGAAGTCTTCTTTTGATCAAGTAAAAGTGAGCTGTGTCATAAAATAAAGCCAATTTGAGCCGGAACTGGCCACTAGGCATCCCAGGGAGGGTGAGGGGGGGACAACGGTAGCTTTTCTGGAGGAATATTTTTCTTGGGTGAGGGAGGTTAATAAACGTCATTCACTGTCCACTTATAAGTGTGAAACTAAGATTAATCTGCTGGTAGAAATCCTGTCCTCACCATGGTACTGTTTACTGCAGGGAACTCTCTTGTAAATATGACAGGGATGCTTGTTGTCTTGAAAAGGGCAAGAAATTGCAGAATTTGATTGTTCAAGATGAGTTTTCCTGTCCTTATTACATGGGAGTCACAACTGCCCAGGAAAGGGGAAGGGGAATGGGTACTGTGAACTGTTGGTTCAAATGTTTTCCTTGTGCCTCTCTTCATATTCCTATGATAGACTGTTAAAAAGTTCACACTCAACTTGGGTTAATTTAAATATGTCTTTGTAGCGAGCATATAATGATCTATGACGGCATGTCATGCAGTTTAGTCATCATCTTCCGAATCTTCGTCATCATCTAAATCTCTGCGGCTTCTAATGGATTTCTTCAGTATCGTGGTGGTACTTTTCTTGGTGGCTTGATCCGGTCGTACACTGAGATCTCCACTGTAATTTATTACACCAGATTGGGCAATTCTCCATTCCATCATCTCAGTACTGAAATCATCTTTTCCACCCAAATCATCAAAGCCTACAATGCGATCGACAAATTTCCCATCTTTAAACAACTCAATAGTCGGGAGGACACGAACGTCTCTTTTTTGGACGAGGAAACGGCAGCGCTCTGCGTTCACTTTGAGAAATTTTGTCTCGATATGTTTAGGCGCCAAGATGGACAAATGCTTGTCGACGATTTTACAACGAAATGTGCTGTCACGGTAAAAGTGACACACTAGCCTTGGACTGTCCTTTGCTTCAGCAAAGAACTCTTTGTCACTGGCAACTTCGTTGTATTGGCCGTGCCCTTTGTGAAGCCACTCCCGTTTTTGTTCTTCGTACTTTTTCAGCTGCTCCAACCGTTTCTCGCGAAGTTCTTCCATTTCATCACTGGTCATACGATCGAGTTTCTCAAGCTCTGAATCCACTTGCTCCTCCACTACCTTGGTAGCTTGAAGTAAAGTGTTCTGTATGTGTTGCTCAATATTTCCTGCCATTTCTTGCGGTCGTAGTTACCTTTTGAATGCCAAGAAAGAAAACGTTTTCAGTGTTGTTTCGTTGATTCGTTTCGTTTCGTTTCCAGGCGCAAAATTTATTCAGAGGTCTCCTGGGAACTAGCATGCCTTCAAAGAATTGTGGTCTATTTCAAGATGGTGGACAAATTTTGATACGTAGTGAGCTTTTTCTCTCGAGATTTTAATATTCCTAGATCCGACAGAAAGAAATTCAGTGCAAAAAAGTATTGCTGATTTTTCGAGGAGTAATTTTCCGGAGTAGTTTCAAATGAAGCATGGAGAACGGGGCCTGTTCTGAAAAAAACGATCGCGATAGTGAAGCCTCAAGTACAATGTCCAAGAAACAGAGGAAAAGACTTATGAAGCATCAAATGTTTTTGGAGAAAAGAAAGATTAAAAGGCAGGAAAAGCGAGAGAGAAAAAAGGAAGAAAAGAGGAAATTACGAGAAGAAAGAAAGGCTGACGGAAGTGAGGCGATGATAAATGTGGCTGGTGCATTTCCCAAAAGATTTAAATCAATGGCCTCAAAAGAAGCTTCTTCGCTTTGCATTGCTATAGACTTGAGCTTTGACGATTTGATGAGCGACCGTGATATGATGAAACTTCTAAAACAAGTGCAACGAACTTATTCTGTCAATCGCAGGGCAGAACATCCTGTTCAATTGTACCTCACAAGCTTTGGGGACAAAGTGAAAAGAAAGTTAAACGAAATCAAGTGCAATTATGAGCAATGGGACATTCATATCAAGCCTGAGCCGTATAGCGAAGTATTTCCCAAAGAAGACGTGATCTATTTGACTTCAGACTCTCCTAATGTTCTAAGCGAAGTTGACGAATCCAAAGCGTACATTATTGGTGGACTCGTAGATCACAATCACCAGAAAGGCCTCTGCTACAAGCTGGCAATTGAACGGGACATTGCACATGCTCAGTTACCCATCTCCGAGTTTGTCAAACTAAACTCCAGGAAAGTGCTTGTGGTTAATCATGTGTTTGAGATTTTGTTACGTTTTACTGAATCTAAAGACTGGAAAGATGCTTTCTATAAAGTTCTTCCTGCGAGGAAAATTGTGCCAGACAGCAATGAAAACCAGGAAGAGATAGGTGGCAGTGAAGACTTCAAAAGAGATAGTGAGGAATCGGACAAGACCAAAGAAGAAGTAACATGCTCCTAACAGATAAACCGAGATGAAAGAGATGAAACTTAATGTGAATCTGGTTAATAACAGAGTAGTATGGTTGTGTTTGAGTTCCAGAGTAAGTGGATTGATCAGACAATTTTATTGTAATGATCCCCCCTGGAACAAAGCTTTTCTGCAGACATGCACTATTTGTATGGTAGAGTCAAAAATTATATTTCAGGTTTGCCTGTTACCTCCCTTTCACATTCAGAAAAATCAAGATCCAACTTCATAACCGTATTATTGTAATTTGGGCAGTTGTGCTCTTAAAACAGGCTAGCCTGAATTTCAGCCACCTCCTCGGCCCGCTAAGTCACTCAGCCCCTCTCTCCCTGAGTGACTTAGTGGGCGGAGAAGGCTGCTGAAATTCAGGCTAAATTCATGCCTTATCACATCAGGTAATAAGGCCATCGTTAAAGGAAAGAGTTGAAAATGTAAAATTAAACTTACTCTATATGAGTGAAATGTCTCAGTTTGGTAAAATTAACCCATTTGCCACTGGAGATTTTGCCAAAAAACACATTTTGAAGCTAGTCGAGTGGTTTTCTGGTCACCGTGGTGCTATTAGAGAGATTAAGATTCTTGTTTACGCCAAACGGCAATCATCAGATTCAAGTTGAGACTTTCTCAGAATAGAAAATAAGCAGATAAAAACTGTGCAGAACAATTCTTATGAATAAAACTGGCGTGAAACTACTTATTTTTTTAGTTGAAGTAATAAACAGTTAATGACAATTAAGGGAAAAACTTGGTCACATGGTAAAACTTACCACAAAGCTGTTTACAGGTTGTACACTTCGCAGCCTTTGGATCTAGAAGTTCAGGCATGCACAGAAAGCAAGATTTTGAGATAGTTTTTGGGTTTAAGGTCTCGGTAAAGGAAAACGAGGTGCCCACAGAAAAAAATTCCAGTCGCGCGAGTATTTTCGCTACAAAGGCAAGGTATATATCAAATTAAAGCTAAAAGACTAAATTACCTTACAAAAGATTTTATTTCATCGAATTTCAAAAGGCGCTTAAGTTTTTTGCTCTCGAACTCAGAGGTATCAAGTTTACTGCTGAAGCTCCAGCCCTTTCGCGTTGTTAAAATTAATATTCACTTCCTTTTTATTGCATCTGATTGACAGATAAAAGACCTAAAAAAGGGTGTGAGGAAATTTGCACATGTTTCGTATTAGCGGGAATTATTGCATTTCAAACTAAAAAGTCGAATCTCGAGCGCGATTTACACAAAGAAACTGACATAAAATGAGTTACAAAGGGAAATCGGAAAATTCCTCACACCCTTTTTGAGTCTATATCATTATCCATCATATCTGAAAGTTTCAAAGTGATAGCTTAAAACCTGTCCCGACTGGAGGTCGGAGAATTTTGATTTTTGCGCCTAAAATAGAGTGAGAGAAAATCAGCTCTAAAGATTTAGCGCAAGGTCCACGCTTGGCTGGTTAGCTCAGAAAAGGCTCATTTTAGAAGGTTAAAAAGCACTTTCTGGTTTTCTTTTTCTGCCAAAATAAAATTTAGGACCCACTCATGCCAAAAATAAAAAAAAAACCAATATCAAGCAATGTACTAAATTTTCATTTACCGAGACCTTAAAGGTGACACAGCAGTCTTGACTTTTACTTTTCGCTTTTTCTCCCCCTTTTTTCCTCTCTTTTCCTGCCTCATTTTTTTCTCTTGCTGGGGGTTTAGTAGGCTTCATTTTGGTGGGAAAGGTTTTTGGAAATAAAAAGGTTAAGAGTTCTTATTTTATGTCAGTAGCTCAAAATAGTCATCTGACTAACAAACCTGAGGCTAATGGTGGAGCTCATTTTACTCCCCCCCGCCCCCTCTCCATCAGTGCTCTTTTTTACGGGTATTTAAAGTTAAGAAAGAAGTCAAAAAAAGGATTTGTGGTCACACCTGAGACAGCCTGCAAAGAAAGTTAGTGTCTGATAGCCTGGGGCTAGTGGATTTTTCTTTCGGGTTAGTGAATTCTGTTTTTAACTTGCCCGACAGTCAAGTGATGTTTTTTGAGGAATTCAAATAACAGAAGAATTCTGCTCGTCACAAAGCTTTTGGGGCTAGTTGAAATGACGTCTGGGCTAGTAAATGCTAGCTTCAGCATGCCCAAATGGCGTGCTGTAAAAGTGATTTTCGTTACACCCTGTGAGAATTGAACTCGGAACCTCCCACACAGAAGGTCGCGTACTAACCAACTGCACTAATTATCTTTCCTGTTAATGACCTCTCCCACTTGTTTGCAAGGTCTTTTTGCAAAGCTCCCTTTTAAAAAAGGGAGCCCTGATCATTTTCTCCCGGAAACTGGAAACTATATTGGGTGAGTGGAACTTGAAGCCCTGAAATTTTTTTTTTGGGGGGGGGGTGGTGCTTGGAACCTGTCAGCATACAGTTCATTCATTTTTCAACACTTCTGATATACCTTCACTTGTAAATTTAGAGTTCCAAATCTCTTGGCAACCTTATTAAAGCAACAGTTATAACAAATATTATTATAATAATCGCTATTATAATTTATTATATAAACACCAATGAAATACCAGGTGAGCTTTCGTGCGAAAACATGATATCTTCACACGTGAAAATAACATGTTATTTTCACATGTGAAAATATCACTGTTGCTATGGCTACATAATAAATTGCGCCTTTTGCAGGATAAAGCTGTTTCAGTGAAATGGTTTGGTATTTCATTGGTGTTCATATAATAAATAGAACATTACATGGCCGCTTGGAGATACGAAATTTCTCTTCTCGTGTTGACATGAGAAGAGAAATTTCATATCTCCGCGTGGCCATGTAATATCCTCTATATCTTAAATGATTACTTGTCTCATGAGTTGTCTACTAGAAGATAGAAGATGCTTGGCTTTCATCATTCCACATGACACCATAGCCATTTTCACATAGAGATGAATTGTCCATCTCCAACAAAAGTCCTCAAAGTGCATCTGGATAGATAGTCTGCTACACAGCCATTCGTTGTGCTGCCATGCAGTGCTCCTGCCCACAAATTGAACATTACATGACGACACAAAGAACAGCTGTGTAGCAGACTACAGATAGATGGATGAACAAATTGTCTAACCCAAACACCATACAGATCATCGATCTGACAAGGATTATCAGACAAATAACCCTTTTGAGATGGACACCTCCAGCATGAAAACGGCCAATGTATGGTGGTTGCAAACATGCACCTAGATCAAGAGGTTCCTCAGACGCACAAATTCATGGAACTTCAAAGAGTGATTTTGTAAAAGAGGGTGCCAGCTTAATTGTCCCCTTTAAAATGAATAAAACAGTCAAGGGATGGATTACTAAAGTGACTGGCAAAACAGCAGTTTTTAAACAGGTGGAAACTTTTGCTCATGAACCATAGGATAGAAAATACTCATTAAAGTAATTTTTCTTTCTTTCTTGCTTTTTTACAAATGTCAAATGTTAACAACAGTTGCCAATAACATATACATAAAGAAAAATTTGTAAGTCAATAATCTGTTTCTAAGTGAGTGAAATCATCCAAAGGGATTACTGAACTGAGGTACTTGCAAAAATGAGGTTCTTTGTGTTACCTATTGTAATAATTTATGCAGATCAGTTGAATGTGAATACTCAACTGAGTTCTGCTTGACAAATCTAACAGCTTAAAATGAGGTTCTTTGTGTTACAGCTTAAGTAGGTTAAGCTGGCTTCCCACGTCTTCAAAATGTTTTCACTCACGTGTGAAGTTACTCTTGTCTGTTGCAAGCTGATGGCTGTGTTAAGCAAGTATCACAAAACAAGCACATTCACTGATAACATGTCACTCCTGTGTGTAAGTTCATGCCGCTTACAGTGCGATGACTGGCTGAAGCCCTTATTACAATAACTGCATTGATAAGGTTGTACTCCTGAGTGAATTTGTTCATGCCTCTTAAGCTGTGTTGATGATGTAAAACACTTATCACAATATCTGCACTGATTAGGCTTCTCTCCTGTGTGTATACGTTCATGCTGCTTGCAATATGATGAGTCAGCAAAGCACTTGTTACAATACTTGCACTGATATGGTTTCTCTCCTGTGTGTGTCAGTTCATGTCGCTTACAATCTGACGTTCTTACAAAGCATTTATCACAATACTTGCACTGATGAAGTTTCCCTGGGCTGAAACCAGTAATACCAGTATGCGTAAATTCATGTTGTTTACAATTTGATTGACGGGAAAAGCACCTTTCACAATGCTTGCACTGGAAAGGTTTTTCTCCTGTGTGTGAACGTTCATGCTCTTTGATATTTGAAGAATCACAGAATCGCTTATCACAATATTTGCACTGATAAGGTTTCTCTCCTGTGTGTGTTAGTTCATGCTGCTTACAGCGCCACGACTGGCTAAAGCACTTATTACAATAACTGCACTGAAAAGGTTTCACTCCTGTGTGGATAAGTTCATGTCGCTTACAGTGTGATGATGTGTAAAAGCGCTTGTCACAATACTTGCATGGATAAGGTCTCTCTCCTGTGTGTGTCAACTCATGCTGCTGGCAATCTGATTTCTTCCTGTAGAACTTATCACAATACGTGCATTGATAAGGTTTCTCTCCTGTATGTGCACGTTCATGCTGCTTGCGATTTGATGCCCGGTTAAAGCACTTGTCACAATACCTGCACTGATAAGGTTTTTCTCCTGTGTGCGTCAGTTCATGCCTCTTACGCTGTGTTGATGCTGTTAAGCACTTATCACAATACCTGCACTGATACATTTTGGAAGGCTTATCTCCTGTGTGTGAAAGTTCATGCTTCTTGCAATATGATGAATTAGAAAAAGACTTGTTACAATACTTGCAATGATATGGTTTCACTCCTGTGTGTATAGATTCGTGCCGCTTACAATCTGATGTTCTTACAAAGCATTTATCACAATACTTGCACTGATGAAGTTTTCCTGGGCTGAAACATTTACCAGTAATATCGGTATGTCTCAATTCATGCTGTTTACAATTTGATTGACGGGAA